AAATTGATGTTCTTTCAGCAAACGATTACGATTTTATTTCAAGTTTTGGTAATACTTTTGAGCTTTTTTGTAAGGTAAATAAACTCTAAATGTTAACAATTTCGCCCTGTCAAACTTTGGGCTATACTATAGCTGCTTAAAATATAACCTAGCTTGTACTTACTCTGAAGTACGACAATAGAAAAGGTCACACAATACGCTACATTTTTAACTATTGGTCAGAGACAACAATTATTATAGTTTACCGATGTTTAAAAATTGTAAAACCATTTTGGCCTATTTATTTTTTTTGTTTCGAGCATCACTTATGAATCTTTTGTAGTATGGCGTACAAAATTTTAATCCTGTTATCTATGATGATTTTTTCTAATGTACCAACCAAGAGGGGCACAACACACAGCGAAATCGCATTTCTCAAAACTATGCAAGTGTAAGTGTCTAATCCTATGCATTCATTACCCACAATGTAAATCCAGCCTCTGTCAAAAGGTCAAAATAGGGAATAGAACACAATTGGTATAAATTTCAAACAGAACGACTAAACTTATGTTGGGGATGCTCACACATCGTATCGGTGTACACAATGATGAAGACCGTAAAACGTAGGTAGCGTCTTCCTTGTAATATAACAAAAAGATGTTGTATGCTATGGCATGGTATTGGTTGCATAAATTTGATATTTTTCATTTAAATGCAATATTTCTTATTTAATTGGTATATTTCTTCATTTAAATGCAATATTTTTTTATTTGAATGGTATATTTTTTCATTTAAATGCAATATTTTTTATTCAGATGGTATAATTTTTCATTCAAATGGTATAATTTTTCATTCAAATGGTATAATTTTCGTTCAAATGCAATATATTTTATTCAATTGGTATAACTTGTCATTTGAATGCAATATTTTTTATTCAATTGGTATAGTATTTTTTTTTATTTATATGCAATAATTGCATTATGGGAAATTCTTTGACGTCATAAGGTCAAATTTGCAACAACGTTTGTGATTGGTCGGAAATTGTTTGGATTTCTCCCCTTTCTTTCTAAACATTGGTGACCAAGAATTAAAAAACGCGTTAGAATATCGCCCCTCTAACTAAATCTAACGTTCGTGCGAGTCCTGCACTGGCTGTTAAAATCTTGTGGTCATAACTAGTATTTCTATTGCAAAATTTCGATGGTCAAAACGTTCGGTCCACTTTTCAAGAAATTTTTTTGAATGAAAAATTATACCATTTGAATGAAAAATTATACCATCTGAATAAAAACTATTGCATTTAAATGAAAAATATATACCATTCAAATAAAAAAATATTGCATTTAAATGAAGAAATATACCAATTAAATAAGAAATATTGCATTTAAATGAAAAATATCAAATTTTTGCAACCAATACCATGCCATAGTATGCTTTACAATGAGATAACTTTCCACCAAAGACCAAAAAACGTTTAAGTTAGAAACTATATGTCGTCGTATGGCTTTAAACAATGAGAAAAAATCCTACCGCATAGCAAGCAATATCTATACTACTAAAGGAAGCATTGAGCAGCAACTCCTCTGAAACGACACAAAGTCGGAAATATTTGTGATATGACGTATAAATGTAGTGTTTTGTACTAAATTTGTCTTTAAAACAATCTTTTTTTTCCACAGAAAACGCCAATTTTTGAGAAAATATCCAAATTTGGTGACCGTTATCTTTCGCGAATGCTCAGTCGACGTACTGCCCGCGAAATCCAAGTGTTGTTCACATATTTGCATATACAGATTGTTTATTTTAATGGAGGTTTTTTTTTATTGCTAATAAGATTCTGCAACTTGAGTATGTCAGCAGATTTGGAGTAGCGTCAACGGTTTCTGAGATACAAGAGGGGTTGATGAACCTCCGTTGATTACTGATGAAGTGTCTTAGAGTTTATATTTCATCCGATTTAGATGGGATTTTTTACATTGTGTTACTAAATTTGATTCCTTTCGGTAATGTCAACGGATTTTACGTAGCTCATACGGTTATTGAGTTAAAAGGGTAAAAAACTACTGAAAATCACACTTTGCCACACTTTTCTTAGGGTATTTAATATTCTTATTTTCCAACCGAGATGAATGGGGTCTTTTGCATTATGTTCCCCATTTTCATCTCTTTAAAGAAATAGAATTAAATACTTTAACCGTATCCAAATCCTTACTGTGTCCACCTTATTACTGTGTCCACACTCTTTCTTTCAACACTTGCCCAATTGTACCGCGATTTCGCGGGCATCTTCTAGTATTATTAGTATTGAATAAATACAACATCGCATGCAGTTTTGTGAGTATAAAACATGTATTTTCATCTTTTATTAGATAATTTTTTTACTCAGGTAAATAAATCAATGATGGATTTCTCTTAGAAGAAATTCAAAGGTCCCAATGAAAAAACTACACAGAGAACAATAGATATTGTATTTATTCAATGTGACAATAGAACTGACAAAAGTTTAAATAGATTGACCAATAGGAGATGAATCTGTGGAAAAGTTTCATTTGGTTCGCAATAAATGTTAGCATGTTTAGCGCACACCCCGATAATTAAATCCGTATATTAATTGAAAATGGACGCGCTTAACTTAATTTCAGTTGAGATATGTAAACGCCATATGATAATATAACATAGTCGGGTACATGGTTAACGTATTAATCTTTGAGACATAGTAATATATTTCAATAATTAGCAGTCGATATTTTACAATCCGACAGAAAAATTTAAGTTGTATCCTTAGTTACATATAGTAGGAAGATGTACTCTTACCTTTAATCAGTTAATTCCTATAATTTGAACAGACTAATATTAACTACAAATTCAGCTTAGACATTACAGTCAATAGATAATAATACATAGTGTCAGCCGATTGCTTTACCGTTGTCTAACTGTTAGCATAAGAGCTGATTTCAACAACTATGTCAATACAGAATAAAAATAACGTCCAGTTTGAAGATTGGCAAAGCTCTTATTAACAAACTATTGTGACAACCGATATGTAAGTTAACATATCATATTTTGCAAGACTTATAGAAGATTGTGGCATGTGTAACCTTATTGTGTGATTATTAAATTTCTCTTAATGGAATTAAATAATCTGTTGCTGGATTACAAAATAGATTTGAGGATTCTATCTAGTAAAATCTATCAAAATCCAGACATATCGATAACGAGAATGGATAACAAGAGTCAGAAGTTACAATGCAATGTATAAAAAAATCTTATAAAAAGTGTGCAAATAGGACCCTCCTGTTAGACGCGCATTATTATTTTTATTATTATTATAATAAGTATTATTATTGTTATTATTATTGTTGTTATTATTGTTATTATTATTATTGATCCATCTGTCTAATTACATGTAAAAAATAAACTTTGCCTCTAGAACGTAATGCTGCTTTCACTTTCACAACTGGTGTACCTTATATGTGATTCATTTGCTTCAAATATTTTGTTGCTTTTGAGGTCTAATTTTCGAACCGAAACTGTTTAAATGGTTACTTTGAATTTTATCTCCATAACAATACCAAACTCCAAGGCAAATTCAAAAAGGGAAAGTCCATAAAAACTGACAAAATCAAACGCTATCAATCAATGGAACGAGTAAAAAAAAAAACTGACAAATTCCTGACTTGTTACGGGTAATTTTTTATTGTATGTCTGTAACGCTTATAGCGTTTCTGGGTAATCGATTTGCTGACGTTAGTCGTCGTTATAAATTTGATTTCGCATGTTGAATATGCCTATGATCTCCATGCCCCTCTCTTATCCTCTATCTTACTAAAACCTGCTTATATTTGGACATACATAGGGGCCTTGACAATTCCTCTACCAAAAACGCTGGCCATATTTTTTATAATATTTTCCACATTGAGTATAGTCTAGTTACTATAAATAACAGTTAACACAGCTTTTACTTTATTCTCAAACGAAAGCCAGTTCAAAAAGTTTCCAATACTATTTTGTGTACTTTTGCGGACTTTTATTACATCAAAATTACAGTATTTACTTTTACATAACGTTTTAGATTTATTTTCCATTAACTTACATTTGCATAAATTTTCTAACCATTGGACTGATTTCCTGCTCCTAGTCGTTTAACTAATTTCAGACAAAAAAAAGTTTTGAGAAAAATCCAAAACCCATAAATCAAAGGATAACATATCATGCCTCAGAATAAGACAATAGGGCACATACTGTATGTTTGGTACCATTATACAAGAATTCATACTTGTAGGCATTCATCTGGCAGGTATCATGCAAGTTCTTCATGAGCTATGGTTCAAATTTCCTATTGCTTTTTATGAAAATAATGTGATTTTATCAATTTTGTTTTTATATCTCACCTTATCACGCCAGATCCAGAAAATCTTTGCATTACAGTGTATTGTGATTAGTACTGCTTAGTGTGTAATGGGGGAGTCAGGTGACATTTAAGTGAAAATTGTTTGAATGCAAACTGAAAATTACGGATGACATTGTGCCTTTCACATATCTAAGTCCGCGTTTTTGAAGAATGTATGCACTCAAAACATTGATAAACATAAATCTTGCTATTATTACATAGTTCTACTACAGGGATAGGACCTACTAAACAAACAGAACAAAGAGACTGGAAATTTTCCCTGCATAAAAAAATCAGGTTCGTTCCTTCAAATATGACAACTTGTAAACAGTAATTATCTTATCGAAAAGTTGTTCATATTTAAATGAGGATTCTGTTATCAATTTGTTGTTGGAATTTGTTTATTTTTGACATAAAGACAAAATACATTAAGCTTTACACGTGTATAGTTTCAAGTATGGTTTTTACGATATTTCCTTTAACATGTATTCTTTTTCATCAACTCCAAATAACAAAAATATAAAATGATGTAACTATAATTTTTGTATCAATTATGCAATATTTAAATCACCGAGGACATATATTCTGTTATCACTTGGAGTCCAAGAAATTTATTCAGTATAGATACACAATGGGAGAGGTAAATATTTTAACAATCTTTGACTTAACTTTTATTTAAACCGTGAATCTTTGGAGATAATTTAAAATTTTCTTTATATAGGTTTTAGCAATACCTTTTCAAGTCTGAGACGAATAACTAATGATTTATTTTTTTTATATCAAAGCAACTCTTAATGTGAATAATGAAAAAAACAGAATAAAATGATTAAAGGTTATTGGGCAAGTAAAACAATTAAACATTATTACAGGGGATCACAACATATCAATATAACATCTGATTTATTTTGATAGTTGCAGGGCTACAACCTAAATCAAAGCAATGTTGATTAATTAAAATCATGATAATTACAAAACTTAATTCGCCGTTTCAAAATCTAATGCATTTCGGGTAATATTTTCAAAAGCGTACACCAAGACGCTGTGGTTGTCTTACAACTTCCAAAACAATTGAAATTCAACCAATGACGTGACGTTGTTTTCATTTTGGGGTACGAACAATGAGATTACCCATGGTCTTTTAGATTCTGAAACGGCGAATTGGCTGTAACAAAATGTAAGACGGCATGACTTGCTTTTGTAAATGCAAGTTTAAAAAATGTCAGTTTCGTTATTTGCAGTTTGTGCTTACCATTTGCTTCTACTTGTTTCAATGTCTGATTGTTGTTGGTTCTTCAAGCTATTCACCATGTGACAGTGACGATGTTTGGTGCCTGGTATCAAGTAGGTATGACATCGGTAATTGCATTAGCATAAATAAATTTAAAAAATCACCTATCCTACAAAAATATCTGCAACAACACATGCATTAATAATTTCATCTTTCACATTATATTAATCGGCTATCCCAAAAGTCCCAACAGTACATATAAAAATATGTCTCTGAACTTTTAAGAACGGGATTACATATTTTCCTTGGTCTTCTAAGTTATTAATTCTTTGCTGTCTTTTTTTTCCAATAAAAATAATCAATCAAATTTTAAACTCTGGTCTTGTCTGCAGTAGTGATATTTATGTCTATTTAGGATTATATATATACCTATTGATAATGTATAATATGTTTGATAGTCAGTGTTGAATAAATCGAAGTTTGTCTAATGTCGGGGCGATTAAAAGCTCGCAATATAGCGTGGGTGCTTGTCCAACATGAAAAATCGTATGGCTAATGTAGAAATCTAATCATCATGTTGTTTACTTACTGTTCATTGCTTTATTGCTGTTTTAGGTACCCTATAGCTACATTCTTCATATTAATGGTTTTGATAACCATTTTATTTTGTATCCTTTACCTACTATCAATTGTTTTCACATCTTCACAATTTACCGTTTCAGAATCTAAAGGATTGTGGGTAATTTCATTGTTCGTATCCAACAATGAAAATTACGTCACGTCATTGGTTGAAATCATATTGTTTAGGACGTTGTAAGCCAATCACGCTTTTGAAAATACTACCCAGAGTTCATTAGATTCTAAAACTGCGAATTAATACCTTTCCGTACAAATCATAGTGTTATATATAGATACAAAAATAAATGTAAATACGAATTGGTATTTTTTATTCGAAAAAAAGTATATATAAAAGAGGCGAAAGATACCAAAGGGATATTCAAACTTATAATTTGAAAATACACTGACAATGCCATGACAAAAAACAAAAAACGACGAAAAGACAAACATATCGAATAAAAATGATTCTATTATTTGTGTCTTCTATAACTTTGATAAATAAGTAATCACCATATCATGTTGACCATTCAGGACAATAGATTTGTAATGTTGTAAAATATAAAGAGAATTTTTAGTGAAACATGAAAATAAAAAGTTTTTACCGCAAAATTGAACTGTGTATCAAGCACACATAGAGCAACACCTACTAGCCACATTCTTGATTTGGTACATGCTCATTAAAATGTTGCGGAGTTAAACTAGTTTTGAGCACTTTATTCACTTCCTTATTATCTCGATTCTTAGAGAAACAAGAGATACAGAAACTATTCTATAACGTGTTACTAACTATGTAGTTACTGCAGTAAACTGAAAGAACGATGTCTTTTCTGAATGATGTCTAACGTGTTACTCACTGTGTAGTTACTGATGTAAACTGAATGAACGATATCTTTTCTGAATGACGTCTAACGTATTACTCACTGTGTAGTTACTGCAGTAAACTGAAAGAACGATATCTTTTCTGAATGACGTCTAACGTATTACTCACTGTGTAGTTACTGTGTTCTGAAAGAACGATGTCTTTTCTGAATGAAAGTGCAATGAAACTGTTAGTAAAAAGTTTTAACATAGAAAGTTAAACAATTGAGTATTGACCTTTGATATTTCTTATTGGATAGTCTATATCATGATCTTTTGTTTGTAAATTTTATCAATATGAAACAAATTTGAATCACTTTGTTGAGTCTAACATTAAACTGTAGTATAATACTAATACCTTTGAACTTATATACCTCAGTTTACCAGATGAGAAATTTATGCCACCTATCGGTAATGGCCATATTGCTACAAATGTCTTGAGTGATACCATATACATGAATGGATTTTACAATGGTTACAGAGAAGATAGCCACAGAGCCAGATTGCAAGCCACTTCAGCTGTTGATGTTCAGTTTGATGACGGTCGTGATTCTAGATATTACGCCCTGGATGTGTTAAATGGTAAACAAGTAGTTATTTTTAGAAGCTATCTTTAATTTTCAGTTATATCAGTATTTATCATAAGTGCCATCAAATAGAGTCAAATATAGCTTTAAACAAAAGTTCGAATGATTTTCTTAGGTTTCTCTAAAATAGTCATTGGTTTTTGAGTTGTGGACAGACGATTTAATGGGTAAGAAAATGATAAAATACGACCATCATAACACTACCTGTCGAACCTAGAGTATATACAGTACTTGAATTCCTTGATGATTAAAATAGTCATAATAACTGGCAAGGTTAACTGGGTTTTTATTATTTATAAAACTTTGATCTTGTACATGTAAGCAAAAGTCAATTTTCAAAATCATTAATTAAATCATCATTTTTTAAAGACTTTTCCACGTGTTTTAATGTTCTCTTTTTTCAAATGAACAGAATTTCGAATTACACGAAAAAAAACTGTTCCTTTTTTATATAATCAAAAGAAGTCTTCTTATTTCATTTCGATATTTCTATTTTTCAGGCATTTTCTATCAGAAAATTTACCACCCAACACAAAATACAAGTATAACCATCATGTATTTTGCTCACCGAAAATATGATACTCTAATGGTTACTCATGTCTCCGTTCAGCAGATTTTACCAACCAATATTAGTTTTATATGCCAAAAAGGTGGTTTCAGCCAGGACGTCGGCAACTTTTCAGAGGTCAAAATTGATAATTCAACCACGTATGTAAGAAATAAAGGATTATGTGATTGTTTGTTTGTTTTTTTTTTTTTCGTTTTCATTTAATTAAATAATGAAACAATGTAGGTATATGTTCAGCTATTTAAAAAGATGAAACAATTTTTACATCTCAAAATGAATATTGATTTAGAGGTATTCCCGTAACAGTGTGGACAACCGTAGTACTTTTGTTATTAATACTACTGAATCATTTACCTTTAACTTGTTTGTCGTCGAATATCGATAACAATGATTTTACGCTCACGCAGTCTGACAGAGGACCTCCAGTGGGGATTTAGATAAACACTTGTTACACATTTCGATACATAAAATGAAATTGTTGATCAAAACATAAAAAAACGCAAGTAAAGAACGTTTAAGTATTCAATATTAATCAAAACACAAAGGTTATTCCTGTACTAGTTTTTCGAATTATTTGAGTCAGGCGTTGAGAACCTTTGGTGACCCCACAGTTTAAATGTCTATAATAAATACGACGTGATAAGTGGGCGTTACAGACGAACGTTCACCTAATTTAACCCAGTTAATGGGAGACTTGAGCGCGCCAAAAAATGGTCTCGTCCACACTGTTAGGAAAACGATACTATAAACGCACACTGTCTACAACATTTTTTAACATGTAAATAGTCACCAAAGCTCTCAGTGTATACTTACATATAGACTGTATTCAAAGCATTTTTTTTTATTTTGTTTTTAAGGAACACTTCCAACTGAAAAATACTTACGTGTTTTAAATTGCGTCGATTGAAACATTTCGAACTTTAGCTTATAGTTCTGAGTAAATACGTAAATGTCGATGTATGCGTGTTAATGAACCCATAGATGTATGGGTTTATACATCTATGATAAGCATAACAATTTACCACTAGCACGGAGATGCAACACTAATAAAAATGCATTGAATTGGCGGAAAATTATATGAAATCGAGTTGAGAAACAAGATATTCCAAATATCTTAACAAAATGAATCACCTAAACGAAAACTCGATGCACTTATTTTATTTGGTTTTGTAGATATTTCACTGTCAACTGTATGAACATGATTATTTATTCAAAGGTAAATCAATAACTTGCATTATGCTTTAAATTTATTCTTTAATATTATACAATTGCATGATAGTTATTGGTCAGGTGAAAACAAAAGACCGGAGACAGATGACTTAGATCCAATGAGATTCCATCATGTTTGGACTAAAAAAGTCAATTTATTAGAGGAACTCATCAATGGTTCATATAGATCAAGCTGGATTTCGATTTCATCTATTGGTAATAATAAAGAGGAAGTGTTCTCATTGTACACAAAGGCCATGGGAATGAGATATGATGATCTGGTCGAACAACATAAACAGGTGAAGAAAGCGATTATTCTTTTTGTCCGCCTTTTAAACATCCATGCAAGTCACGTTTTAGCAGAACCATTTCTTCATTGCATTGTTACGATAATTAAATTCATGCATAATTATTAAGTATAACGTGTTTTTCTATTTTTTCCCATTTTTAGAATAAACTGTAAATTCTTTTAGGAATGGAACAGAATTTGGAAGAATGGCCATATAGAAATCCATGGTGATAATAAAGAGCTCCAAAGGAATATTCATGCAGCCTTCTATAACATATTATCTTCTTTACCACAAAAACAAAATGATCACAATCCGTTTATAGGATTAAGCCCAGGTAAGCAGTAGATATGCTGTGAAGCGCTTTCATATCATAGTGGTTAGGATATTGCAGTCAATAGATTTGCTTTATTTTAGTAGCAGAGGCACTGGAAAAACATAGGGACGATCCAAAGACGATCTTAATCTTCATCAATTTTACTTTGACGCCAACAAATCTTGAATTAATGCCCACTAGCAGACGAGACCTTCTTTATTTTCATGAACAAATAAAGGCAACAGTAGTATACCGGTGTTCAAAAGTCATAAATCGATTGAGAGAAAACAAATCCGGGTTACAAACTAAAACCGAGGGAAACACATCAACTATAAGAGGAAAACAAAGGAACAACAGGAACACTGAAGTGCAACAAAAACAAACGCCAACATACATAGATAGAAACGAACTATTTGATAATAACTGCCATATTCCTGACTTGGTACAGGACATTTTAAGAAAACTTTGTGGGTTGAACCTGAATTTATGGTTAGCCAAACCTCCCGCTTTATGACAATATTAAAAAAAAATATCGCTAAAATGACAACACTACGTGAAAGAAATACAGCACAAACACACGCAAGAACATTCATCACAGAGAAACGCACAAACAAATAATATAATAGTCGACATAACATGCAAACCGCAGAACAACAACGAACATATTCCATCAACGACAAACACCACAGGATATCAAAAACAGTGACGCGCTTACGTAACTAACATTCCAAAAAGAGATGCCATTGAGACAGCAATTTTGAATACCACAAAAAAAAAGAACAGAAAAAAGAGCCAAAATACAGTTATCAACAATAGGTAGGTGCATATACGGTATGACAAGAGTTAAATCGTCCCGTGTCTATAAAAAATGTGAATAAATTTAACAGAGACTATCAAAGATCTGCACTCAAAACCAAATTTCACAGAACACAGAAACGTCAGGACAAAGGCATCAGACCCGGAATAGACACACGAACAAACGGAAGGGCTAAACCATCCTCTAGATATATATATCAACCTTCATCTTCCAATATCGATCAGTGGAACGACAAATGGTACACACGAGAACACACTACAAAAATCTGCACCGGAATAACAGTCAACTGTATACTCAATGGTAACAATAAAATACATAACAAAAAGCACAAGCAAATCAATAATGAACAATTCATTATTTAGCCATGATCAAGTTTATAACGTACCATTCGATAACTTCTCGACTAATATTTTTTTCTAATTTCAGGTGGATTATCTCGTGGTGGTAAAATCAACCCCAATATAACTGGGGGTCCTTCAAATGACTATGCAGGTCACGTGTACTGGGATATGGATACGTGGATAATGCCACCAATTATGATGTTTCATCCAAATTTAGCTCGCTTGATTATAAATTCTAGGATTCGAGTGCTAGATACAGCAAAGGAAAACGCCAAAGGAACTAGGTACTTGGGAGCCCGATTCCCATGGGAACAAGCTGTTACTGGTATTCATAATACACTTAACATTAACAAATAGACATAAGGTTTGATTGCCAAATTTTGTAATGTTCATATATTGTTCCAATATCATAAAAAAAGTTAATTTATGTTAAACCGTAACTACCAGGATAGACAACGTCATGACCAAAAGACAAACAAGACTAAGGAACAAACATTGCTTCACAGATTATTACACAGGGAATTAAAAATTAAGCACAAGAACAATAGTTAAAACAGTAGATGGTATCGTGTGCTTTTATTTATATTACTAACATGTCACGTTTTTCAATTAATCTATTTCCGTACAGAGTTCTTTGCAACTATTGTTTTTAAATGATGCATTAATTGTTGAACCGGAGAATTGAATACAATCATTGAAAATCACTCATGTCATTTAACAGGTATAGAGACGTGTCCATGGGATTTAGCATCAAAATATCAAGTACATGTGACAGCTGATGTTTCATATGCTCTACGACAATATCTTTACGTATCATCTAAAGATGACGCAACTGATATTTTGACCAACGGTTGATCGTCACTTGCCTTAGAGATTGCAAAATTTTGGGAAAGTCGTGTTAATAAAACTGATGACGGGAATGACATATTAGGTGAATAAATGTTCTTGTTTGTTTTAATAGTAAAATATACCCCCGCTATATATTGTAATGTTACATGTATACATGTGCTTCTAGGTTCGAAGTCACAAAACTATTAGAACTTACTAAATTGGTCTCTCTCATGTTCATAAACATCTGGTTTTCTATAGTGAAATCAAAATTCAATTATATGAAGAAAAAACAGACGATGTTTATCATATTTTTCACAGATAAGGTAAAGGCAAAAATCAATGTAAATATGTTTTTTGCCACTATATGTAGGGCAAATTTTCATTATAAAAGATAAGTATGACCAATTTTATATCTTTGATCCATTAAAAATTTCCCAACTCAAAATAGAAATAAGCATGTCAAAGCAAAATCACTAACTACTGGGATTGTAGTATATAAATAGATAACCATATTTTTCCGTTAAAAGTTAAAAATTGGATGTATCAAATACTTTTGTTTATTTCATTTCTTCCACGGGAAAACAAAACTTGTTTATACTAAATTGCTTTTTTATCTTTGCAGGTGTAATGGGACCGGACGAATACCATTACAACATTAACAATTCAGTATTTACTAACTACAACGCAAAGTTAAGTTTGATGCTGCCTTCATTTCTAGACGACAGTTATAAAGGGTAATGTTTACGATTTTGAACTGTCCAGAACATCAACAATAAAAATATTAACTAGCAGGAGTAGGATTAAAAAGTTGTAAAAATGTTCCTATATTGACAGACAGATTGTCATATATAGACATCTTTATGGGGTTGAACCATTTTCATTTATTCTGTTTCCAAGTATTATTCTCACTGCTATATTCAGGTTTCCAAGTATTATTCTCACTGATATATTTTCGTATCCAAGTATTATACTCATTGATATATTCACGTTTCCACGTACTATTCTCGGTGATGTATTCTCATGTCCAAATTGATTCTCACTGATATATTACGTTTCGAAGTATTATTCTCACTGGTATATTACGTTTCGAAGTATTATTCTCACTGATATATCTCGATATTTTCAAAATTGTATGGCTAAATATTAAGTATTCAATCGGTTTTTAGATTTAAAAATGCAATAGATTTAATGCAGTTGTTTAAAATATTTCAGTATTGACTCGAAGCAAAAGAATGAAATTGCAAAGTATAAGGAAACTGCAAGTAAACTCAAAATACTCTTTGACGAGCATGAAAGATTTCATCCTCAGTTTGAGGGATTCAGATTAAAAGGTTTGTAAATTTTATACGAAGATTTTTGTCTCGCCTACTACGAAAGTCGCATAGCGATGCTAATTCAGTGGTGGCAACATCGTTAACTCTTTGCATTAAGCTTTATATGTCAGAAGAGTCATACCTTTTATAAAGATGCCTTATTTTTCGAAGTTTCAGTCTGCCATATGCCTATTATCCTTGATCTAACTTTAAAGGTTCAGTGGCTTCTTGAAAGAAATTTGTGTTTTGTTTTTTTTTTTGGTCCCGTGAATTTCTCTCCTATTATGAGTAATATGATAACTATATTTGGTATATGGGATCCTGCACGATCAACATGTACGCCAACCGTACCCCCTTACTTTGACCTAATTTCATGGATAATCAGAAATCAAAGTTAAAAAGAACAGAGAATGGAAACGGGGAATATGTCAATGGACAACAACTCGACCAAAGAGCAGAAAACAGCCCAAGGCAACAAAAGAGTCTAGATCAATACCGTATCTCAGATAATATAACCAATAGGTCAACTATAATTGATGTATGGAAACACTGTAGGATGTACATGTTGGGCTGGCAGGTTTCATCTGGCATTGACTTCAATTTCATGGTTCTTCGTGGTTTGGTCATTTTCTCGTATACTATGAGGAATAGGACAACTATATTTGGTGTATGCAATGATTGTAGGGTGTACATGTCCGCCTGGTAGCCTTCATCTGACCTTGACTTCATTTTCATGGTGAATATGTCAATGTTTTGTTTTTGTGGCTATTTCTGATTCACAGACTATCTAAGCAATAGGTCAACTATGTTTGACATATGGAATGATTTTCATGTGAACATGTAAGTCTGTCAGAGTCTGACCTTCACCTCATTATTGATAATTCATTGATGAAATACATGTTAAGATTTCATGGTTTGATCTTTTTTTCTCAGATACCATAAATAAAGGCAACAGTAGTATACCGCTGTTCAATAGTCATAATTAGATTAAGCAAAAACAAATCCGGGTAACAAACTAAAACCGAGGGAAACACATCAACTATAAGAGGAAAACAACGGAACAACAGAAACACTGAACTACAACAAAAGCAAACGCCAACATACATAGAAACGGACTATCTGGAAACAACTGCCATTTTCCTGACTTGATACAGGACATTTTAAGAAAAAATGGTGGGTTGAACCTGGTTTTATGGCTAGCCAAACCTCCGGCTAATATGACAATGTTACAAATACCGCTAAAATGACAAAACTACGTGACAGGAATACAGCACAAACAAACGCAAGAACACTCAGAACAGACAAATACATAAATAAATAATATAGTAGTACATAACAACATGTAAACCGCAGGATAACAACGAACACCTGCCATGAATTTACAACAGCACACCAGGACACCACAAACGAAATATAAACTGTGCGTCACATGAATGGATCAATGTCACAAAAAGTGACGTATTTTATGTGACATTTATATTATCACAGGTAAATGGAATTATAGCAAGGTGTACATGGCTGTTTGGCAACTTCATCTGACTTTGACCTCATTTTCATGGTTGTTTTGGTCAACATAAAGTTTTCTTGTTTATGTCTGCTTCTCAGATACTATACGCAGTAGGTCATCTACATTTGGTGTTTGGAATGACTGTATTATATTCATGTCTGTCTGGCTGGTTAATCTGACCTTGGCCTCATTTTAATACTTCATTTATATCCATTAATCTTTCGTGGTTATGTCTGTTTCTCATACACTATAAACAGTTATGGGTTGTCTTAATTTGGTGTACGGAATGATTTTATGACGGATAGGTCTATCTGGCAGGGTTCCTTTGACCTTATTTACATGAATCATTGACCATGTTACGTTTATACGATACTTATAGCAAAACTTTTATCTTAAAGAACTTCAATATAAATTCAATTATGATCAGTAAAGAAGGCAGTGCATTTCAGTGTACGTGTGTACTCTTGTTATAAATTCATTAAATAATTTGATTAAATTCGATAATATAGCAACATTCTTTTTGAAGGTCATGTTGAACAAGTTGATTTAAATTGTTATGTTTTCCCGGAACATTATTTTCATGTGAATTATCTCAAAACAGTCTTCGTTGAACTTATTGATTGTTTGCGTAACAATTTATAAAAAAAATATGTCAAGCTGTTTTTCTTACTTTAGATAAAATAAAGCAATCTGATGTCGTTCTCCTGGGATTTCCGTTGTTAATGCCAATGGACCCTGAAATAAGACAAAACGACCTGGTAGTATATGAAAAAGTAAGATATCTAAAAGGATAATAACTGGAAAGAGCCACAAATTGTTTAATACGTTATAAAAGTATAACAATAAAAATACAATGTAGCAACAAAGTTTAACCAAAACAATTGAAGTAAGACAACACTTTGATTAATATGAGTCAATGGGGTAAAACTTTCAAGACTTCATGTTTTCAAAATACCTGTTATTAGCTAGTTGTATGTATCTTTCCCGCTCAACCGACTCCAAGAAGTTATTTAACTTGGTTAACCCCAGAATCTCGTTCTTATAAAGAAAAGTCCGCAATAACAATATATAAGAAAGGATGTGTAAAAATTTCATTAAATACCAATCAATGGTTGAGAAGGAGTTGCAGATTTGCATAAACGGCAAAGTTCATGTTTTGCAATGGATACACTTTTAAAAAGGTACGAAAAGAAAATGGATTTTCTATTCCAGGAATAGATTATCTTATCTGTATTTTACAAAAAGAATTTTGGTCCGTTGCTCTTCAACTTCGTACTTTATTAAGCCTTTTAACATTTTTAATTCGAGCGTTACTGATAAGTCTTTTGTAGACGAAAATCGCGTCTGGTGTACAAACTTATAAGCCTGTTTGGTACCTTTGGTTTTTTTAGTGTTGTTTAGGTTTTTTTTTTGTTACCGTGACTTGACTTTAGGTGTTGCTGTATACCTTTAACTATTATTCAACCATATTGTAAAATTGAAAATACAATTGGGACATTTAAATTGACCAGTTGGTATTGTTAGAGTTAATAGATAATCACTCGTGCATTTAGAGTCTACCTTGATGCTGGCTCATCACTTGTTCGATTGTAATTGTTGTAGTGTAACTGACATAGGTCTTTCAAAAGTTATCCATGTGTGGCATTAAGGCTTCAATATTGTCTTTGTTAAATAACATAACATGCATACAGTTTGAATTAGTATATATGGTATGAATAAAGCTAGAGTATGACTGCAAGATGCAATTTTATTTCATGTTCTAATATGTGCTAAAACCTGCTGATTAAAAAAAAATTCATTTCCCCATGATTTTATTAGAAAATCCTAAAATAAGTAACTTAAGGTGGTACCAAACACATTGACTCAAATTAATTCGGCTTGTTTGATTTTCATAACATATTTACTTTGACCCTTAGACAAAAATATAAAAATTTCAAAAAACTTGAACCACACACTTTATCGGAAAATTTCATTGGATATGTATCAGTTTAACAAACACTAATTTTGATCATTGAGAAGCTTAATATTTCCTTAACAATAGAACGTGATTAAAACGTTCAGCTGATTTTTACAGAGTTATCTCCCTGTAGTGTTATGTACCACCTTAAAGGAAATACACATTGTAATTGCAATCTTTTTTTCATTGAAATGAATTTATTCCTTGTAATTGGCCATACAATTGTCAAAGAAGCACAACGATTACAAGGAATAAGAAAGATTTTTCTATTACTGCTATTTCAAATTTTAAGATTAAGCAAGCCAGAACAGGAATGTATGTTTTTTTTATTGCAGAGTATTTAAATGCATGTCGTATAATGCACGATATTTCCTCATAATGTTTTTATAGCAAAATACTATGAGTGATAGGATTTCTTTCATATTGTTGAAAAGACATCTTTTATCTCTTTGGCTTTTTCTAATGGGAGATAACTCAAAATATTTTTTTACTCTTGTGGAAATCTTAATTATTTCATAATTTCCATAATTTCCCACAGTTAAATAACACCAGAACAAATGTGTACATTCCCTCCATTTGACATTTGTTCAATACTTATTGACATGAGCCTTGTACAAAGTATTTTTTCATAGTGAAATATCAAAATAATATTTATGAATAAACAATTTTATTTATTTATTGACACTGATATTTGATATCCCATCCAGTTTCACTATTTGAAATAATTTTAAAATATTTTCCTAATTTCATAAACTGTTTGGAATACTTTCATATATTTTTTACTATATCACTAGATTTTTTTCTATATTCACAGTATTCTGTTTAATTTCCCATGATATATATCCCAATTAAACAGGTGCATTTTTTATATTAGATCCAGAAAGTTTGTAATTTTTTTTATTATTTACCAATATCACTTTCCAAATAATTATTCTCACTTTACAAATTTTTTAGAATATTTTATTTATGTTTTTCACTTTTCACTTGATTTTACTATATCCAAAGTATTCAGTTTTGTAATTCATATCCCATGATATATGTCACAGTAAGTTAATATTAGAACCAGCATTTTATAATGATTATTTCCAATATCACATTCAAAATTGTTATCCTCACGTTATGATTTTTTTGGAGAATTTCACTTTTATTTTTCACTTAATTATATTTTTTTCACTTGATTTGACTATATCCACTGTATTCACAATGTATTCGATTCGATTTCCATGATATATATCCCATTTAAACAGATAAATTATCTTCATATTAAATCCAGAATTTTATAATGATTATTATCAAAATCATATTTAAAGCCACAGAAACATGTTGGATGAACTTATTTCTCCTACTTGCATTTCAGTTTTGAAATTTGTTTACCTTTTATATCTAACTAAATCCAATCTTATATAAAGTGAATTCCCTCGAGTGAACATAGAATTTTATGCACAAAAATCCTAGTAGATTTCAAAGAAAAACACTAAAAGGTTTGCTCCAAAATTATTTCAAATTTTACATGTACATCATCATGTGAAAGTCACACACAACACATTTTGAATGAATTATTTCCTCCTTGATACATTCATGACAATCCATTCTTGAAAAAAACAAGTAAGATTTAAAGAAGCAAAATTAAATGGTATCTAAGAAGTGAATTCAAATTAAATTAATTCCCAATAGATTATAATGCACATTGAATCCAATAGATTTCAAACACTGCGAATAATACTAAGACGATAAATTTGAAGGGATATATGAAGAAAAGCATAACATACCCATCTGAAAACTGAAAACACCTGAATAGCTATGTCTTGTTTCACTGACAACTGGACAATACTATGTAAAAGGGTTAAAAATTTAAAGATTCATTTACTTGGTTAAAACAGTTTTAATTTTCATGCATATTAACATGCAGTTAAGAAAAGCTTTTACTGATTTAAACTATTGGGGTCAAAATTAGATTAATCATCTATATTGGGGATTTAAAACAATGAAAACAAATAATATTTTCTTCCCAATCAATTTGTATTATAGACATGATAGAATAACCGTAGGTGAAGAAAAACTTCAAGAAAGCATGCTGTAAGGTTAGGTTAGGTGAATAAAACAAAACAGTACAGGTACCATAAAGGTAGACCCAACTCGAACAATACGAACTGGTCCATGAATTTAAATGTCCCAATTGTATTGTCAATTTTACAATCTGGTTGAACAATAGTTAAGGGTAAACAGCAACACCTATAGTCAAGTCACAGTAGTAAATACTAGAATTGGATGTATATTGTCTTAAATGGAAGAGGAGTTTTTCTAAACATTTCATTGAATTCAGGTCTTTTGATATAGAAATAGGAAAAGTTCTAGATACAAGATGTTTTCTCTCTTATTGGTAAGACAAATTCAACGTTTTGCAAAACCAAAACATCATTCATTCGCGTCAAAGATATAACTAAAATCTGCACAATGCCAGCAGAATGCCAGCAGAATACCATGCAGGCAAAAACAAAATCGTAAATTTCTCTTGGTATTCTTTTTTTAAAGGGGTGTCAGTTTTAGAAAGAATCGATGATAAATATTAAGGAAGAATCGCTATCATAAATATTTGGTCAATCGAAATATTATACGAATAACTCATTTCAGATGACCGATCAATTTGGACCAGATACTGGCACTTGGAGTATGCACACTGTTGGATGGTTGGAACTACAGAATGAACCAAAAGCTCAAGATATGTTCAAAATGTTACTCAGGAATATCAATGGTCCATTTAAGGTATATAACACATACATTTTAAACATAAGAACTACATTTTTATCTTTTAATAATGCATGGCGTGAAAGTTACTCTACACGACTGACAAATCCATTACCTTGCCTGTCGTACCGTCAATGGACTCTGGATATTAGTATCACTCTTTCCCGTTCAGCTAAAGATTGTAAACAACTTGAGGTATTTTCTATAATAGTATGGTATTTTTTTCTTTAATGGCTTCAATTACAAAGTCAATTTCACAATGTTGATGACACACATTATTTTAATTTCAACAAGTTAAAAATAATTCAATAGTTTTTTTTCTTATTTCCATTAAACCAAAATGCTATTTAGGCTTATACATTGCGGCACATTTCAAATTTGCTCAATACGAAAAATTGCAAATATCACATTTTTGTGTGATGTTTGGCATTGCAAGACATCCAGAAACGGATGAATGAAATTGTATCTGAAATATTAATAGATAGATTTATTGTTAGTGTTTTACACCAAAGCGAAATCCTAATTCTTATAAACTTATCTGATTATAATTTTAATTTTGTAAGTGTGATCATTTTTCATTATTAATTATTTCTTGATATAATTATCTTTTTATAATTAAAAGGCTTTAGTTACTTTTTAAAATAAGCTTATTTGTTTTATCCATAACAGTGTAAATCCTATAAATTTTGACGAGACTTCTTGCAGTCTTCTACAAGACTTTTTGTTTCGATTCTCATTTCCAAGTTTTATTTATAGACAAAATTAACCGTTGATGGATTTGACTATTATTTTTAGGTCCCTTTAGTCCTAAAGTTTATCACGTGTTTATGTATTTATTCATCCTCCTTGTCTTTGAGCGTTCGCAATAAAGGTTAATCCAGAAAAAATGTTAAAGTGTTATTTTTAACTTGTATTCAATATAAACATACATGATACACTTTTCAGGTATTCAGTGAGAAACCTTCAAACGCGCCTGATGGACCAAGATGTGTAAATTTTATAACTGGAGCAGGAGGTTTATTGCAGGCTGTCATTTTCGGCTACGGTGAAATACGGATTCGTGAATCACAATTAGATTTTAATCCTCACCTTTTGCCAGGTGTCAATCGTTGGGCAATGAAAGGATTGAAATACAAGGGATTTGAATTTGATGTTTCTGTAAATCAAAGCGATATCCAGGTAACACTGATAAGTGAATCTGACGGAAAATCGGCGTTAACAATACAATCGTCATCTAAAAAAGAATTGAACACACAAATTGGAATGACTAAAACGTTCAAAAGAGGAAAGGTTGTATTTAAGGTGGAAGATTTTCCCCATCGTACACCAACGATAGGCGGTAATACAGTTTCTGGCGAGGACAAATGCGTTGGATTGAAAATAAAACTACTCTTTTTTATTGTAATGTCCTATCATACTTTATCTTGAAATAAACGTCTTTTTATAAGAAATGTTGTTCTTAATAGTTCATGTGTCACATCATTTCGATATTGTATCATGCATGGTCCACACCTCCAGATATATTTGATCTATCTTAGAAAAGCACTTTCATCACTGTTTTTATTGAAAAAAAAAAGATATTTGTTTAAGAAAAAACCACTATTCTAAGACGGCTTTACTTAAAAGTCACATATAAGTCTTTTGTTGACATTTTTTTTGTAGGTTCATAACTGCAAAAGGGGACAACACTTCTGTCCACATTTTACTGAATCTTAATAGCTTTTTCTATTGCCGACAGAACCAACAGGCAATGAAAGACTTGTAAAATCAAATTAAACAATACTAACAACTTCCACCAACAAATGCAAAAATGAATCATGTTTAAAGTCTTCGCTTAAGTTCAGCTGTTAATTTTAACAAGTTTATCAAAATTTAGAATTTTGGCTTTTGAAGTGTCAGTACCATCTTGTCAGATCCAATATTTTTTAAACACTTTGTAATGAAATGTATGTCAAAGAAACGAAAATTCCATTCGATTGCCTTTGTCAGAGTATGGAATGAAGAATAGTAAACTGTGCAAAGATGGGCAACTCTAGAAAAAAATTAAACAGTATTTTTTGTTGCGAAATTAAAAAAATAATAATAATAAGCAGTCAAGATTGGAGCAATATTTATTAATAAAACCAGTTGTGAACAATACCGAATATTATTGCAGTTTTGAATGATCGCCTGCCAATCTTTCATGTTTCTTATCTGTTCGCTCAACATATTTACGTATTTTGTGACGTATTCTAGTTAACCACTGTTTTATAATTCTACATGTCTAGCGATAACTCATTTGCCTTGTTGATAATGTAAGTCAATTTAGAGATAACTGTTTTGTATTTGAAGCTTTGCGGACGTCCATACGTAGTTTTACTGTCGCAAATTTAGTTTACCTGGCGACGCGTAGCGGAGACAGGTAAACGGATATTTGCAACAGTTAAACTACCAATGGACGTCCGCAAAGCTTCAAATACAATACAGTTATCTCTATTCTAATGCAAAATAAACAAATCATTCAATTTTAGTCAGTATTTCAGTGTAAAATTTTCATTAAACAAAAATTCCGCGAAATGATGTTTTCTTCTTTGGCGCCATAACTAGGTGACGTCATAGGTATGCTTCCGGCATCAAACGTAAACACCGGGCGTTTTCTGGCTTCTTGATCGCTTCAGAATGTAATAAAATTTGATAAAAAGAAGATTTCTATGTGCAAAATGTGAGTTTTTTTGCTTATTATTGGGGAAATTACATGTCTATACATTCCGGAATTCAAAATGTCGGCTTCCTTAGTTACAGACAGGGAGGTAGAGAATTTTACGCTTATTGTCATCCAATCAGAAACATTGATACAAAATAAGTGCATTAGAATGTAAGTTTAATGTCAAGATACACTTCGATTTTACGATCTTAACGTTTGTCCTTACAGAGTAATCTTATGAAAATTCAAATTTTCTTTCACTAGATATTTTTGAGTTTTCACATTATGTTCTGTTCTTTAAAAAAAAAGTCAAACACCAAAAATACCGAACTCCAAGGAAAATTCATAACGGAAAGTCCCTTAACAATTGGCAAAATCAAAAGCTCAAACCGCCATTTTCTACATAAGGAAATGCCTGTGCCAAGTAAGGAATATGAGAGTTGTTTTCCATTCGTTTGATGTGTTTGAGCTTTTGATTTTGCCACTTGATAAGGGACTCTCCATTTTGAATTTTTCTTGGAGTTCGGTATTTTTGTTATTTTACTTTTTGATATGTTACGGTGAATAATCCCGAAATGTTATATAATGCTATACAGCTATATTGCATAATAACTCAGCTGCATTTGAATTTCAGAATTGTGGGTCCTCAATGCCCTTCAACTTCGTTTCTTGTTTGGACTCTTTAGTTTTTTTTTATTCGAGCATCACTGATGAGTCTTTTATAGACGAAACACGCGTCTGGCGTACATAATTTTAATCCTGGTATATATGATGAGCTAGGGAAAACGCCAAAGAAACTGGGTACTTGGGTGTCCGATTCCCATGGGAACAAGCTGTTACTGGTATTTATATTACACTTAACATTAACAAATAGATGTAATATTTACTTGACATATAGGTATTGCCTACCAAATTTTGTGATGTTCATATATTGTTCCAATATCATAAGAAAAGTTAATTCATGATTAACCGTTATTACCAGGATAGACAACGTCATGACCAAAAAGACAAACAAGGCTAAAAAAAACAAACATTGGTTCACAGATTATTACAAATGAACTTAAAAATTAAGCACAAGAACTCTAGTTTAAACAATAGATGATATCCGTGTGCTTTTATTTATCTTACAAACATGTCACGTTTTTCAATTAATCTTTTTCCGTACAGAGTTCTATGCAACTATTGTTTTTAAATGATGCATTAATTGTTGACGCGGAGAATGGAATACAATCATTGGGAATCACTCATTTCATTTAACAGGTATAGAGACGTCTCCATGGGATTTAGCATCAACATATTAAGTACACGTGGCAGCTGATGTTTCATATGCTCCACGACAATACCTTTACGTATCATCTAACGATGCTGCAACTGATATTTTGACCAACGTTGGACCTCACTTGCCTTAGAGATTGCAAAATTTTGGGAAAGTCGTGTTGATAAAACTGATAACGGGAATGACATATTAGGTGAAGAAATGTTCTTGTTTGTTTTAGTATTAAAAATACCCCGCCGCCCCCTCTTAAAGCCCCAAACACGCCTAAAAACATATAACAAGAAGAATCTAATCCTTGCCGAACCAAAAAGATACTCGATTGTAAGTGTACATGTAATCATGTGCTTCTAAATTCAAGGAATCCCACAAGAGTTTACTTGATTGGTCTGAAATTCATGTATATTATACATGATTTTCTTAGGTGAATAGTGTTTTCTTAAGTTCATCTCAAAATTAATTCTATTTTTAAGATAACAAGATTTTTTTTAAATCTTATTTCACAAGTTTATGTCAGTGAAAAAATATGGTGCAGCTGAATGCTGATGAAACAAGAAATTAACAAGATTTCCTTTGATGAACATACCTTTTATCCAAATAATTTATATATCAATGTCCGAGAGTTTATGAATATGACACTTTATAGAATTGATGGTAATAAAGTCGAATTATGAATATGTGTAAGTTGAAAATCTGAATATTGAATCAACAAAAAGAAATGGAAATCAGCAGCGATATGAAATAAATTTATATAATTATATGACAAATTTGCGAATGTAAAAAAGTGAGTCAACTCTATTGGCACTCTATTTCTTTTTAAATGGCAAAATTGATAATACCATTAAAAATTAATAATATATATATATATTAATTCTAGTAAATAGTAAGAGACATTTTTAGAACTAGACCTTCTATGAAATAAATTCAAGGTAAATTGGTTTTCCACTATTCTTTCATCATTGGTGCTTAAAAACATATTTTGGAAATACATCCGAAATCAAGTATGACCAATATAATATCTTTGATCCACTAAAAATTTCCCAAGTCAAAATAGATTTAAGCATGTCAAAGCAAAAGCACTGCTTATATTATAACTGGGTTTTAAGCATACAAATAGATAACCAAGTTTTTCCGTTAAAAGAACGAATATTAAAATTCGATGGATCAAATACCTTTGTTGATTTCATTTCTTCAACTGGAAAACAAAACTTGTTTATACTAAATTGCTTTTTTATCTTTGCAGGTGTAATGAGACGAATACCATTACAACATTAACAATTCAGTATTTACTAACTACAACGCAAAGTTAAGTTTGATGCTGTCTTCATTTCTAGACGACAATTATGAAGGATAATGTTTACGATTTTGAACTGTCTAGAACATCAACAATGAAAAATATTAACCAGTAGTAGTAGGATTAAAAAGTTGTTAAAATGTTCCGATATTGAAAGACAAATTGTAATATATAGGCATATTTATAGAATTAAAACAATTTCCTTTGTTCTGTTTCCAAGTATTATTATCACTGCTATATTCAGGTTTCCAAGTATTATTCTCACTGATATATTCTCGTTTCGAAGTTTTATTCTCGCTGATACATTCTCGTTTCCAAGTATTATTCTCACTGATATATCTCGATATTTTCCAAATTGTATAGCTAAATATCAAGTATTCAATCGGTTTTTAGATTTAATAATGGAATAGATTTAATACAGTTGTTTAAAATACTCCAGTATTGACCCGAAGCACAAAAATGAAATTGCAAAGTATAAGAAAACTGCAAGTAAACTCGAAATACTATTTGACGAAGGTGCAAGATTTCATCCTCAATTTGACGGATTCATATCAAAAGTTTGTCAAATCTACTAGAAGATTTTTGTCTCGCCTACGTCGGCATAGAGATGCTTATTCAGCGGTGGCGACAGCGTTAACTCTTTGCATTAAGCTTTATATGTCAGAAGAGTCATACCTTGTATACAGATGCCTAATTTTGCGAAGTTTCCGTCTGCCGCATGCCCATTGTCGTTTATCTAATTTTAATGGTTCAGCGGCTTCTAAAAAGAAATTTATGGTTTTTTTTTTGTCTCGTGAATTTCTCTCCAATTATGAGTAATATGATAACTATATTTAGTATATGGGATCATGCAAGATCAACAGTACGCCAAACAGGACCAAACAGTGCCCCTGACTTTAACCTCATTTCATGGATAATCAGTGATCAAGGTTAAAAAGAATAGAGAATGGAAACGGGGACTGTGTCAAAGAGATAACAACCCGACCAAAGAGCAGAAATCAGCCCAGGGCAACAAATGAGTCTTGGTCAATTCCGTATCTCAGATAATATAAACAATAGGTCAACTATAATTGATGTATCAAAACACTGTAGGATGTACATGTCGAGCTGGCAAGTTTCATCTGGCATTGACTTTATTTTCTTGGTTCATCGTGTTTTCGTGGTTTGGCCTTTTTTTT